CGGCAAGTTATCGCAGCCGCTGAACACGAAGCCGCTCCTGCGCTCGTCCGATAGACTCGGCCCGACTTCAATCTAATGACTACAGAGGGGCAGAAAAATGGCCGCTGCGTCTCGGCGATTAAGCGGAAGACAAAAGCGCGCGTCAGCCGGCTAGATGAGGTTGTTTTCCTTCACACTGGTAAACCGTGGAACGGGTTACGCCATGAACAAAAGAACTCACCACGCCGCCCTTGTCGCCGTCCATGAACTGTACGATTTGACAGGATGACTTGTCCCACAGGAAGATGTGACCGCAATCGCTGCCGCTGACCACAAACTCGCTCGTCGGCCCGTAGAAGTTCACGCCTTTCACTGCAAGAGAAAAACAAAAAGGCACCCGGTGAATGTTCAGAATTATGGTGAATATCCGGCAACCACCGGCCAGCCGTGTACGTCTCATACTAACCGGTAAACATTCAACGATGAGAAAGACGGATTTACTTATGGCAGAAGCAATGACAGGCAGGCGGTGCGACCTGACCCGAAAGCAGTGGCAGCTGACAGGCGGGGGCAAGGACAAGGAGGAGAGGCAGGTCTTAGGCAGGGGCAAGGACAAGGAGGGGGCGGCAAGGACAGGCAGGGGCAAGGACAGGCAGGTCTTACGCAGGGGCAAGGACAGGCAGGTCTTACGCAGGGGCAAGGACAGGCAGGTCTTACGCAGGGGCAAGGACAGGCAGGTCTTACGCAGGGGCAAGGACAGGCAGGTCTTACGCAGGGGCAAGGACAGGCAGGTCTTACGCAGGGGCAAGGACAGGCAGGTCTTACGCAGGGGCAAGGACAGGCAGGTCTTACGCAGGGGCAAGGACAGGCAGGTCTTACGCAGGGGCAAGGACAGGCAGGTCTTACGCAGGGGCAAGGACAGGCAGGTCTTACGCAGGGGCAAGGACAGGCAGGTCTTACGCAGGGGCAAGGACAGGCAGGTCTTACGCAGGGGCAAGGACAGGCAGGTCTTACGCAGGGGCAAGGACAGGCAGGTCTTACGCAGGGGCAAGGACAGGCAGGTCTTACGCAGGGGCAAGGACAGGCAGGTCTTACGCAGGGGCAAGGACAGGCAGGTCTTACGCAGGGGCAAGGACAGGCAGGTCTTACGCAGGGGCAAGGACAGGCAGGTCTTACGCAGGGGCAAGGACAGGCAGGTCTTACGCAGGGGCAAGGACAGGCAGGTCTTACGCAGGGGCAAGGACAGGCAGGTCTTACGCAGGGGCAAGGACAGGCAGGTCTTACGCAGGGGCAAGGACAGGCAGGTCTTACGCAGGGGCAAGGACAGGCAGGTCACATGTGAGGCAAGTGTCATGCAGAGAGCGACAGGCAGGTCTAATGCAGATTGAACAGTTGGCGGGGCAGGAGGCACGATCTGACAGCACAAGAGTTGGGCAGGAAGGGGTCACAGTGGAAGAGTGGGGCACATTTCTAGGTACTGGGAGAGGCCGCATGGATCTGGGAAGGATGATGGGACGGGGGTAGGATAAGAGTATTATGGACCCATGGCACATGACAGGGAACCTGGGCATCCGACACTCCCAGACCTGTGGAACACTAAAGAGTCTGGCGGAAGCTGCAGCAGTGGAGCGGAGGGGAGACCTGGGCTGCCGATAGGAACTCCATTAACATTTTGTTATTCGGCAGCTGGCGGTGTCACTTTAAGATTACGGAGCGCCGGTCCCGGGAACGAGTTGAACGGCCTGAAGAGGACATATTGGCATAGAGGAACGTACACGAAGAACCACCAAGCTGGAAACATTTAATGAGCTCTCACAGGAGTAACGAGCGCGCGCAGCCCGACGGCGGCAAATTCCACTAATCTTTCAGAAGACGAGCGCCGCGGACACCTCCACATTTGCAGCTAGCAATCGCACGCGGTGACATAATGAAGGGGCGCCTCGCAGCGGCGGAGGGGCGACGCGAGTGTGACAGCTGCGCCCTCTGCTGGACATACAGGGGAGCGCAACAAGAAATACAATTGCAATTCACTCCAATTATAGGAGATGTTTTACCTGCCAAAGGATTTGTATTCCTGCCCACCCAGGCCTGAGATTTACACAGCTCTGCCACATTTCACAGCCAAGCTGCAGACCTGATTTTTTTTCCTACTGAAGTGAACACAGCCTGATCCCCCCACACCAGACTATGACTGGGCAGCAACAGGCCTCCATTGCTTCATCTCATTCCAGAAATGCTCACTTTGACATATTTATCCTCTTGTCCCCCTCACCCGACATGTCCAATGCTATGGGTAGTGTCCGAGCTTGCCCATTTCCCCACCCCCACACAGTCCTAATGGCCCATTACTATGATGGACTGCGTCACTAGCCAAAAGATAAATGCAAGAGGAGGAAGGGACATGCTTTAGCACCATCAGACGTACCCAGGCTTTGCCTGCCAGGGCGGCCAGGACTTCGAGGGAAGCGTGCACTTCATACCGATCAGCGGCTTTTTGCCCGTTCAGGGCTAATGATGGCCAGCTGGATGGCTAGTGATGGGAACAAGGGGGGGGGGGCGTGCACCTTGTTTGTGACAGTCAGTCCATAAGACCCATTGCTTTCAGGTAGGGGATGCACCGATGCTAGTATTGGTATCAATGCCGAGTATTTTGGCGAGTACTTGCCCAAATGCTCCCATGCCTAGCCCGATACTCGAGCTGCCGGTATCAGTAAACCGGGCAGCGAGTCATTACACACTTCCCGGCTTTCTGCTTGGCCGGGAAGCCGGCTCCATGCTCCCTTGTCACTCGTCGGCAGGAAGCCGGCCAATCGGGAAGCCGGAGGCTGTGTACTGACGCGGCGCCCGGCTTTATGATTGGCCGGGAAGCCTGCTTCATGCTCTCTCGTCACCTCATGACGAGGGAACATGGAGCCGGCTTTCCGGCCAATCAGGAAGCCGGGCAGCCGCATCATTACACGGCGCCCAGCTTCCCGATTGTGCAGAAAGCCGGCTCCATGCTTTCTCATCACCTAATGACGAGACGCATGGAGACTGTTTCCTCGGTAATCGGGAGGAGAGTCTTAACAGGCCGCCCAGCTAATCGGGAAGCCAGGTGGAGAGTCATTACACGCCACCTGGCTTCCTGAATGGGACATCCGGTATCGGCGAGCACAGAGAAAAAATAAAATATATATATATCGGTACTCGATTCGGTAAAAATCGGTATCGGTGCAGGTATAGGGGGGAGCATGTGACATCCTTCCAGCGTTTGGGTCTAGCAGCCAATCACTAGGCCCGTGTACTGTCACATGACGAAGGGATGATGTAACCACTGTACACGGTTGATGTGAATACAAGAATGCGTTAAGCCGGCGGTAGGATGTGACTGCAATCGGCACCCCGCGGTGCGCGTTTACTAGACCGGGATTGCTCCACCGTGCTCCAAATACTCCACCCGTCACAATGAACGCCCAATTGTATAGTGGGGGCGCTGGTCCGGTGGTATGGGGGGGGGGCATTGCGTCTGGTCACATACCCTCATCAAGGACCAACTTTGACACCACGAGACACAAAACACACCAGAAGAGTCTGCCCCGCCCCCAGCGCTCCGTACCTGTAGCATTGTTTCGATGTCCCTTGTATCGCTTGATGTACTGAGCCCCGTCGCTGTGAGAGGAATTGAACAGGTAGATGTCTTCGTCGTTGTAGCTGGCCAGAAGTTCTGGAGGAAAGAAAAGGAAACGTAAGATCAGACGACTCGTCTGGGTAATATCAGAACCGCCGAGGGAGGCCGGTGCGTTACGCATACAGCCCCCCCCCACAGATCAGGACGCGTCAGGCATATGGAGTCCACATATAATGACAGGATATGATTTATTTATAGCGGGCTCGTGGACAACTACGGTGATGGCAGCTCGTCGTCCACCTAACAAAGGATTTATTCTTCATTATAGGAGGCTGCTGATCTGTAAAGTAAACTTGTACCGCTGCCACAGCATACAACACGCTATGAGGAGGTGACATGTGCCAACGCCATGACTAGCCGACCCCGTAGTGCTCCGGAGCAAACTTACCGACCCGTCTATACATTATGTACCCATTACGTCTGGACTCGCTTCCTTCCCCTCCATCACAGGACACATTGTGCCGCAGCTTGGAGGGGCTCCTGGGCAGTGGGGACCCTGATCCCACCCCCTCTTGCCCCCGAGATTCCAGCTTCCCATACAGCAAGGGGGAGCCAAACTTCAGCCCTCCAAAAGTACAAGCGATTAGAGCTGCAACAGTTAATCGATTTAGTCGATTAAAATCGACGATTGAAAACGTTGGCAACGTTTTCGATCGTCGATTCGTCGGCTATCGATTGATTTGCCTGTTCGGGGCTCCACATGCAGCCTGAGCCGCGCGTCACACGCTTCTCCCGTTGCGGCAGCCGTGCCCACGGCACAGGCCGCGTAAGCCACGCCCACCGCAC